GTATAATAAACATACCGATGCTGTTGAATTCTTCAGGTTCTGTCTTATTATTTTGCCGAACTTTTCCAATGAACGGTTTTACTGTATATAATTTGTCATTGTTACTAGGCGAGACTTTTAAATTATCGTTGACGTGACAATATGCTCGCAGTTTATCAAAACGATTACGTGACATGATATCAGCTATCGTATTATATCGTGTTTCTTCTGCCCAATACATTCTATACGAAGGAACACGAACAATATTTTTACTGTCTTTTTGCACAGAATACAAGTTTGTCTGCTTAGCAAAATTTTGAATAATATCATTGTCACAAAACATTTTAAAATATTGAAAAGGTGTGTAAATATTTTCATCAACCGAAAACTCACCGGTGTACTCGCTGTTTACATCAATTAAATCGTTGTCTGTCAAACCGATTGTTTCAATATTAAATTATTTAACTATCTATCAATTTTTCACACTCAATTATAGAACTATAAAATTTTAACTACTTCAAGATATGGGGCTAAGAAAAGATAACATTTTTGCATAATCACTAGATCAAATACAAGATGACAAGTGTTATGAACGATAATTGAGTACAAATCCGATAATTGATGGAATTATATCAAGTACCTACATATTAAAATTACGTTTTTTTTTAATATGATGTTTAAGACAACTTGTTATGATTATTAATTAAATCAGGTAAATGTTTTTGTATAATGCAGATTGCATATAAACACTTTAAGAGTGCATTGTGTATGAGATAATTTAGTATTACATGTAGAAATTATATCACTATGTTGTTTTTTATATTTTTTAATAAATTCAGAGATATACAAAAATGACACAATCGTCTGATATGGTCTGGTATGTGGAAAACTTTTAAAATGTAGCATACAATGTATCGAATATCAGATTTAAGATTAAAAAAAGTTAACACTATTTCTCACTAAAGATGCTAGGAATTCATTTGATTTCAAAATTTAAATTACACTTGTTCTTCTTCTTTCAGTGCTGTGACTGTTTTCAGCGTATCTCCATGACAATTTCGCCGAATTGACCACTGTTCATTGTTTCACGGATTAACTGCTTTACTGCTTGTGCAGCCCAATGTGGTATATTTTGTAATCACAGAGTTTTTACAGCCTATATCTTTTATCCTTAAGCTACCTTAAGGGTAGCGGGTAGACACTATTCTACGATCCTGGTGAAAAAAAGGTCTACTTCAGGAAAGCGTCCCTGCCCACGCGAGCCATGCTTTGCTCTCAATTCCTTACTAAGAGAAATCATGTCCCATTCCTTTATCCTTCCAAAATTTAATTTCCTACTTCCTATCCCTCCCTGGTGAAGGGCAGCAGCAATCATCGGTACCAGTTCAAGGCGTAGAGAAAATGATCCTGGACCGGCTTGAAACTGGTTTGCCACAAGCGTGACTGGAGCAGTTTAAATGGTTGTGGTACAACTCAGTTGCACTCATACAGTCCTCGAAGACATACCGTCTCAGGACTAGCAACTTCAACGTGGAGTCATATGTCGCCATGTTACCTAATCCATCGGTAACTCTATAATCTTAAATCATTATAACATAATTTTAAAACTAAATGTAATTAAACATCTGTTATCGGGTTTTTACCCATATATTTAATCTTGGTGGCTACATTCATGTACTCCTAGACACTGATGATGGAACATTTTTGTCTTTTTAACTTAGCCCGTTTGGGCCTAAAATATATACCTATTACAAAGGATTTTTAATTAAATTTTTAATACATGGTATACAGCCAACTACAGGAACGTAGATTCCTTGTAAATATTATTAAGGTCTATGCTCCAACAAGTGACAAGTCAGACGAAGAAATCGAAAAATTTTATAATAGCATAGATGAAATAATGCGACTGGCAAAAAGAAGTGAAATAACGATAATCATAGGTGACTTTAACGCTAAAAGTGGTTGTGGTTCTGAAGGAGACCACATAGGAGCATACGTCCAGGTACCAAGAATAATAGAGGAGATAGATTTGTACCATTCTGCGTAGAAAACAATCTGTTAATAGCCAATACCTTCTTCAAACAACATCCTAGAAGACTATATACATGGAGAATACCTGCAGACAGAAAAGACAGAATTGTTAGAAATCAAATTGACTTTATTTTGCCGAATAACACCTTTTAGAAGTATATACAATATACAAAAACATACCCTGGAGCTGATATACATAGCGACCACAATACAGTTATAATGGATTTTAGATTAAAAAGATTTCTCAAAGTCAAAAAGAAAACTGTGATAAGAAAAGTAGACATCTCACAACTAAAAAACCCTGAACAGCAAAAAGAAATAAGTATCAAGCTTGAGGAAGAAATAAAAATGATCAAAAACTTGGTACAGACAGACATTGAAGTACATTGAAGTACATGAAGATATTGGGTTCATAAAACACAACAAAAAACAAGAATGGATAACGCAAGACATCATGGACCTCATGGACGTTAGACAAAAATATAAAACAAGCCCAATAGAATACAAGCGAATCAATAAAATCATCGGAAAAAATGCAGGGAAGCGAAAGAAAATTGAATGTCAACAAAATGCCTAGAAATCGAACAACTTCAGGAAAAATATGACACCTTTAATATTAATACTGTTCTGAAGCTATTTTCTTGTGGCATTGTAAATTAATTACTATTAAACTGGGAATAAGCCACAATTAAAGATAAAAATACGTTTATTGACGTTTCAATTTCCACTTCGGAAATCGTTCTCAAAATACAAACAGTAAATTAAACAAATTTTGTTTTTTGTTACATAGTGAAAAATTCTTCTAATAATTTAATTTTATCTGACTCATTTATATTGACAATTCAGACATACATTAAGCATTTTAAAGTAGACGACTTTAAAATGATATTGCCAATATTGTTGAGTTGCGCTCCTGGGACGACTTTACTTATAAGATAGTTCATTCGATTACATGAAATCAACTTTAACTTGAGAATATCCGTCAGAAAAAAAATCATAGCATGTAATTCGTCTTTAAAAAGACAAACACATGACATGACAGTTAAATTCTCCTGTTAGTGATTCCATAGTAAATTATGAGGGGAAAACCAGGAAAAAAACCTCATAATACTATCCCGACATTGTAAGTATTTGTTCGTGAATTTAGTTTACCTTCAACAAACATCAAAATTCTGATTTTATATGTTACGTTATTTAAAAAACATAAATGATGTATCCTCTATATGTTACTGACTTACTAATACTGGTATTTTCTTATTAATAACTTCCTCTTTCAATATTGGTAACCAGATCCTACTACATTCTGCCGAGGAATTTGCGACACAATTGGCCTCATTTAGCATAATTAGAGCCGCTTCTTTGATTTTTCTTTTTTTACCATCCGTTTCTTTTAGGACTACATTTGAATTATTCCATTGAACCCTACGTTCATTATCTCATGCGTGTTTAGAGATTTGAGATCTATCAAATTCTTTATTTTTAATATAAGACTGATGTTCACTTATTCTAACATTTAATGGCCTTGATGATTCACCTATATAAATTACAGTAAGATTTCTCATTTTTATGGAGTACCGAAAATTCATAAAACGAATATACCACTTAGACCCATTTGTAGTACCATGTAGTGAACTATCAAAATTTTTATTAAATATTTGAAAACCATTTACAAATAAAAATGACACATTCATAAAAAATACACAACATTTTTTAAATAAATTATCAAATATTGAATTTAATTCAAATCATACTTTGGTAAGTTTTGACATAAATAGTTTGTTTACGAATGTGCCATTAAATAAGACTTTAAGTATAGTCAAGACAAAATTAGAGAGTGATGATTATGATTCATTGGCATCAAGAACAAGACTAAACATATCGGCTATAATGGAGTTATTAACATTATGTACTGATAATACATATTTTCAACTAAATAATGAATTCTATAAACAAAATTTTGGTCTAGCAATGGGCTCTAGTTTATCTCCATTCTTAGCCGATATATTTATGTAAGATTTTGAAACAAATATCATTTCTAAACAAAATTTCAAACCCACAGTATGGTGGAGGTATGTAGATGATGTGTTCTCAATATGGCCTAAGAGTTGTTGGACACATTCCTAAATGATATAAACGACAAAGAAGAGACAATAACATTTACCAGAGAAAAGGAATATAATAACACGCTACCTTTCCTGGACGTTTTAATCTCTAAGAACGATACTGGATATGAGACTCAGGTGTATAGAAAACCAACACACACCAATAGATATTTAAATTTCAAATCAAATCACAATATTAATGTAAAAAAGGGAATAATTAAATCCTTATACGATAGAGCCAAAATTACTTGTTCGAATGAAAATTCGTTCTTGGAGGAGAAACATTTGTTAACATCTGTTTTATTAAAAAATGATTATCCTTTATCGTTTATAAATAAGGAATTTTCAACAATCGATCGAATAGAACAGAACAACTTAGAACGAGATCCTACAGCATACACAAGGAATAATATGAGAAAAATAACAATACCGTACATAAAAGGACTATCAGAAAAACTTAAAAGGATAGGAAATAAATTCAACATTTCAACAACATTCAAAACAAAAAACACGTTGAGATCAATTTTGTCCAAAACCAAACCTAACAATGAACAAGAAAGGACAAAGAATTGCATTTATAAAATACCTTGTGAATACGATCCAGTATTTACTACTTGTTTCCGTTATTTTGTTCATTAAGTTTTGCAGCCCTTCTATAGTATTGGAAAACACTATTGTATCATCTGCATACTACAGGTTATTGAGCTTGACTCCATTTACTGAGATACCTTCATCAATATCTAAATAACTAAAGCTACCTCTCAGTAAATTTTCAGCCAATTTAACTTAAACCACTTTTTGATAAGAAAAGTGGGGTTAAATTACATAAAATGTGACAATTGGATTTGTTTGTTTTAATTGATGTTTTGAATATTATTAAACTTAAAGTACATTATGTGATCGCGGCTTTATTATTAGTCCAAAAAAGTATTACAAATTTTTTCTAGCATAACTGTACATATAAGACAAATCTATTAGTTTTGATCTAGAGTAATCAGAAAAGTTCTTATTTCCATTGGCTCCAGCACTATAGTATAATTCCAGCCTTCAATGTCTTTGTCATCGATGAATTCATTAGCTCCCAAAGTTAACTCAGATATGGAAGAAATTACGAATGGATCAAACAAGTTCTAAAAAAATATAAAAATAATAAAATAATCACTCAGTATGCTCCGGACTGAACTAGTGAAGCAACAATTTTAAGCAAAATTTGTTTTTATTTATCAACTAAGTGATGCTATTAAAATGTTAATAAGAGGATTTAAATATAAATTTTAAAGTGAAATTCATGTAGGTACTTATACAGCTGGTTTCTAAAAAAAACTGATAGTGACTCTTAGTAAGATTTGATCATTTTGAGCAGTGTATTTGATTGGTCTGACATTATATTATATTTATTATGACAGACAAATAATAAAATAGACAAACAAGAAACAATTCATTACATATGTTAACCCTTTGCGGACCAAATTAAGTATTAAATAAAAACCTGAAAAGTTATTACAAGTTAGGGATACAGTGATACAAAAGAGAATACTTATAATAGAGAATAAGATATACTTGTTTTTAAGTTGTTTCAAAAGATCATCCAGAAGTAAAATAATTATCCATAAATATTTTGTGGCATTTACCAGCCAGACTGCTTCTGAGGTCTTTTAGAACCCGTGCACCTACGTCTTTTTCAGGTAAGTTTTTAACTTTACCAGTGTAGATTTGAAATTCGGAAACAAAACCAGATTCATTAGCACGAATCAAAACTTTGTAGCCCCGTTTTACAGGCTTCCTGGGCATATACTACCGTAAAATGCTTCTACCTTTGAATTGACTGTCATTTTATTAATCCTTGTTGCTTGGTAAATGCTTTATTCCTATCAGAATGTTTATCTCCAAAAAACACTTTATTTATTTACGATTAGTGGAAGTGAATTTGTTGGCATTCCCCTGGTTCATTTAAGTTGCATAGAGATTTGTTTAAAACACTAATATATCTAACAGCTCCTCTGATAATAACAACATGAACAACTCCAACGGATCTTCAAGTAAATCCGGTATATCAGGACCCACTTCTTCAACACAAGCTGAAAGTGTCTTGTAATAAGTTTGAATCTTTTCTGACCATTTAACAATCTTAACATTTTTATTTGCATTACCAATATTTTTTTTTCGTTGAAGTTTGTTTTTGTTTTGTAAGTTTTCTTTTCCTTTTCCCAGAAACAGATGGCGGCGACAATCCTACAAATCACTAAAAACACGTTCGTTATTTTCTTTTTCATGTTTATCTTCGTCAGTAATTTGATTTATTTCTTCCAATGAATGTTAAGTGTCCAGGATGCCGTTATCTGATTCACTATTTCCAAGATCCTCAAGATTAGATTCAATATATCACGCTTCTGACTCTCCGTCAGATGGTATTTCCTTAATCAAAGCAAATGCACTATCATTTCCCATATTTCTTTCAAGTTCCTCCCCATCCATTAGTTTAATATTTAGACAGCCACGATACACCAAGTATTTAGGCCTTCAGCTTTCGTTTCTGTTGTAAAATAAAAAAAACAACAAAAATAATAAACAGTACTTGTAGGTCCATATGAAACCACATCTTTTAGACGACTTGAAAATATAAAAATATACACAAATATCCGAATAAATTGTATACGATCTCCTTAACAACCATTGATTAACCTAATTTACCTGTTCTTACCTGCCATTATCCATTTATTTACCGTGCCACAGGTCTTCAGCATTTTGAGGCATAAAATTACGGGGATACAACCGCGTTTTACAACAACCCCCCACACAAGCTTGATTGGGTTTAAATCTGGACTGTAGCTTGGCGAAGGTAAAGTTTTGATGTTGTTATTTTGGAGGCCCTGGTTTATTATATTTTCAGTGTGAACAAGACAATTATCTTGTTGAAGGATAAAATTATTTTCTAGTTACAACTGTTCTACACTGGGAAACATGATGTTTTCTAAAATATTCAGATAAGTTTGCCCAACAAATATACCATTCCCATTCCTCTAGATGGAATTCATCCTCATACATTGGCGCTGAAATGCTTGATATCGATCAACATAGACAGGATTAAATTTATTATTATCTGGTCTATACACCCTAATTTTGCCCTTTTTAGTACATTTGTTAGAAGAGAAATATGTTCTCATCTTTAAATATTACCCTGTCCCAAAAATCTTGATTTTGATTTTGTAGCTAGTCTTAATTACTTCTATTGTTATGTAAGAGCTTGTTTTTTGCTGCAGTTCGGTACCTAAGACCCGATGCTTTAATTCTGCGCCAAGTTATTGTCTTATCTTCCTGAAAACTATGATATGATTCTTGCAGTTCTTGCATCTTTAATAGGATTTCCTTCTAATCTTTCCAAAAGCGTACGATCTTCATGAGTGGTAGATATTTTTGGTCTTCCAGAGACTTGCGTTCTGAGAGAGAGTTTCTTGTTCTGTCCATCTTTTATTAATATTAAAAACTGATGTTCTGTTTACGTTAAAATGGTTACTTATGAGGATTTCAACAGTGTTCTTGTTAAGATAGACGGTAACATAAACTCTCGTCCCTTGACACCCATGTTCTCTGATACTTCCGATTAACGAATAACTCCTGCTCACTTCCTAATTGGACGGTCAATGGAATCAATTCCGGAAGTTGACCTTACAGAGATAAATGCTGGCAAACTTAATCATTTTCCATACTCCACTGTTCTGGTCACCAGTCTCTGAAGATCTTTAATATTTTCGGCTAAGATCACAGTGTCGTCCGCATATCTAATGTTATTAATAGGAACTTCATTTACCTTTATTTTAGCTGCTTAATCCTCAAGAGCGTTTTTGACGCATTAAATATTTATTTTCCCTTGGCGCTGAAGCAATTTGCTTCATAAATCTTTATTAATCTACATTTAAATAATTCCTACTAAAAACTAATACTTCTAAATCTGTTTAAAGTTTTTACCTTTAAATCTACTGAAGCCTTTTCCGAGAGCTCTTTATCTTCGCCAATAGCCAAAATGTGTTCCAGTCTCAAGAGATATGTATCCTCTTTCCATGGTTCAAAATTTAAAATATTAATATTGTTGGGTAAACCTTTACCTTCATTAATGGTTAGTCCATTCCACTAAAACAAAATAACTAAGTTATTATTATATATTATATCTTTATGGGAAAGAAAAGAGGGAATAAGAATTGGTGGAGAAATCATAAACACCTTGAGATTTGCAGATGACACGGTAATTATGGCTGAGAGTATAGAAGATCTACAAACTTTACTAGATGCAATAAATAGTGAATGCATTCAAATGGGACTTGACATCAACACAGATAAGACCAAATTTATGATAGTATCAAGGAGTCCAATAAATAATAAACAACTAATTCTTGGTGGACAGCAAATAGAGAGAGTGACAAAATATAAATATCTGGGAGCTTACATCAACACAGAATTAGATCCAGATCAAGAGATCCGGGTACAAATAGAAATGGCAAGGGCAGCGTTCTTAAAATTCAAACAATTGTTCTGCGACAAAAATCTGAATATTGCGCTGAGACTGAGGTTTGTTGAATGTTACGCCTGGTCGCAACTATTGTAGGGGGTAGAAGCATGGACACTAAAAGCGCAAATAGTTAAAAAGATTGAAGCCTTTGAACTTTGGATATACCGGAGAATGTTGAGAATCCCATGGACTGCCAGGGTCACCAATGAGGAAGTGCTGAGAAGAATGGGTCGAGTCAAAAAATTGTTGAGAACGATAAAAGTACGCAAGACTGCATACCTTGGACACATACTAAGAAATAATGAATATAGTCTTCTGCAGGTCATCATGCAGGGTAGAGTCGATGGCAAAAAGGGAATTGGTAGAAAGAGGAAGTCATGGCTGCGAAATATTCGAGACTGGACAAACATGACTGTAGACGAATTATTCCACGTTGCAAAAGACAGAGAAGCTTTTAAAAATGTGGTCGCAAACCTCCGTTAATGGGGACGGCATAGGAAGAAGAAGATATCTTTGTAACAAGAGAAACGGGAGAAAAAGAGAATTATACAGTCATTTCAATTATAAAAAAAAACAATAGAAAACAACATAGTGTTTACAAAAGAGCAGACAAAGGTAACACTACTATTGCTATAGATTAAATAGAATATATTATCAAAACAACAGAAGTTTTAAATAATCAAAATATTGAAGCAAGAATCAAAGATCCAACGAAACAGTGTCAAAAACAAATTATACTCAGCCTTCTAAATTATACTCTTTTATTAAAAAGCTATCATAAAAACTGATACGAATCTTTATTCGTTCTTTTTCACTCTACTACAATTGCTACAATCAGCATTCATTGCTACAATTCTTAAATTGGTGTCTTTGCCGTATAAACGGGTAAATTTTTCTTCAAGTTTTAGGCCTCTGTTTTTTTACTTGTTTTACTTTGCGTAGCAGATACTTTCTTTCATAAAATAAAGCTAAAATCATTTTAACTTTTATTTTTTTCTTACTGTATATATGTACCTATTTTACCTTACTTTTCTTAATATCTCAATAATAAAAATCTTTTCTTTCAAACTTATTTTTATTAATGCCACGCTGTGATCCGAGATTTTGCTAAGATGGTTTCTCTCTGAATACTGAGCTTTATTTCTTATTAGGCTTTTCTTTTGGGGGGGAACTGATCTTTGTTTGAATTTTCTAGCTAATACCGTGGGAGCAAGAAAACAGCCAACCGCAATACCTTGGGCAACATTCAGCAACCAGATACCAAGCCACTGGTGCATCAGCAAGAAATATAAAATCCCTTTAGTAACATAGGAAGAAAATTGCCATTATGTAGACCAGCAACTCTTTTTAAATCAACCGACAGCGGCTAGATTTAACAGGGATCGAAACCCTTCCTGAAAGACGGGACAACTCATTCCAAATAAAATAAAGATTAGTACTTTTATTATATTCTGGTTATTCCATACCAGCAACCGGCTTAATCTTTGGGTCACAGTTTATTTATCTTTGTTTCATATTCGTAATATAAATTTTGTTTTTGTGTTATTTTAGAAATAAATAAATATACCTTTTGTTATGTCTTAACAAGTATTTTTATTTCCGGTACCTTTCTGAGATTGGTGTAGGGGGAGAATGAACAGGGAACGAACCCAGGGCTTAGCAGTCGGACAGAGCACCATTCTGGTGGATGGAACGGTGGGCATTGTTCTCTTGAATATCCTAAGGGATATTCGAAGAATTACTCCCCTCGTTTCTTCCCACCGTATGGTGTTGCTTAACGCCCTGGTCTTTATGAGATAAGACGTTACAAGACAAACAGTTCGCCTCTCCTCAACTTACTCAGTTAAAGACTAGAAAGTGTAAACACGTACCAAAAATAGATCACTTAAAAAAGGCACACTGACCGAAACAGCTGCAGCGATAATAATTAATTTAAAATAAATTTAGAAAATCATATTCTTCAGGCTTGGAAAAAATGCCGAATTCTACAGGGTGTTTAATACCTACAGGGTAAAGCGAAGCTTGCTTTATAGATTTCAAGAAAGCTTTTGATAGAGTTCAACATGAGAAGCTTTTAAGTATTCTTAAGACTAAAAACATTGATAGTAGAGATCTACAAATTATATCGAATCTGTATCAAAACCAGAAAGCAAGAGTAAGAGTCGAAGGAGAACTAACAGAGGAAGTAAGTATACTTAGAGGAGTTCGACAAGGGTGTATCCTTTCACCACTCTTATTCAACGTCTACAGTGAAGTGATTTTTCAAGAGGCTTTATTGGATATCGTGGAAGGTATTTATGTCAACGGAAATAGCATTAATAATATTAGATATGGCGACGATACTGTCATATTTGCAAGTGACATGGAAGATCTACAGTACATAATACAACATGTATACAATGCATGTGAAAGTTACGGACTGCAAATGAATCTCAAGAAAACGAAATCAATGATATTCTCAAAAAAACCACAAAATGTAAATAACCTGATCATCAATAATACAACGATAGAAAGAGTAAAAACATATAAATATTTAGGAACGTGGCTAACCGAAGATGGAGATCAAGTAAAGGAGATCAGATCTAGAATAGAAATGGCAAGAAACACGTTCATAAAATTGAAGAAATTACTTTGCAACCGTAACCTTAATCTAGAGATTCGCACAAGAATGCTACGTTGTTACATCTTCTCTACTTTACTATCTGGCATGGAAGCGTGGACAATAAAGCAGTCTGAAATCAAAAAATTAAACTCCTTTGAGATGTGGTGCTACAGGAGAATGCATAAAATATCGTGGATTGAAAAAGTAACTAATATAGAGGTGTTACAAAGAATGAAGAAAGAATGTGAAGTCATAAAAACTGTTAAAATTAGAAAGATTCAATATCTGGGACATTTAATGAGGGGTGAGAAGTACCTATTACTGAGGTTGATTATGCAAGGGAAGATACAAGGGAAGAGAAACCCAGGACGACGCAAAATGTCCTGGCTAAGAAATTTGAGAGAGTGGTTCGGCTGCAGCTCATTAGAATTATTCAGAAATGCGGCCAACAAAGTTGCCGCAACAAATAGCGATGATGATTTCCAACCTCCGCTAGGAGAAGGAACCCGAAGAAGAAGAAAGCGAACATATAACTTCTTAAATAGAACACCCTGTATATTTTCTCATAATTAGATTCCTCTTATTCTAGAAGAGGAAGAACTATCACTGTTCTTACAATATGGATACTACTGTACAAGATATTTAATACGTTATCACAATTTTTATTTTGAAATCGCTATGAATTAAACACACTGTATATAAAGAAGGAATAAATAAATATTAATTCTATAAAGAAATATTTCGGTTCTCAACTTAAGTTTAAAAGAAATCATTTACAAATACTCGTATACAGGGTGGAATACAAAATAAGATCATTTTCTCATAATTTTTAAATGTACAACCCTATTTTATTTTTCGTATCCAATAAAAAATTCAAGTATATTTACCTGAAATTTTATAATTTTCTGTAGTTTATCAAGAGCCAGATCATCCGATGTAGCGTCAGCTGTTAATACCCATGGTTGCAACAACTTGTTTAGTGCTAAAATTCTTTCTAAAAAGCAGTTATTTTTAATTATAAACTGAGAAATTACAAAGAAAATCAATAAACGCTAATAAATATGCATAAAAATAAGAAAATCAGTTGGCTGGTTCAAAAACAAAATCTCCTTAATACTTATAGATATACTGCACGGAAATAAAAGACTATAAGAATTGTATTACAGTAATGTAGCTGGAAGAAATGTTGTTTTTCAGCAAAATAATATCGCAAACAAAAGAGGTTAAGCTAGACAAGGAGAGCCTTCATATCTCAAAAGCAGAAGTAACTGAGTCATCCAAATAATATAAAATAATAAAAACCAAGTCCTGAGAAAATACATATTTTAAAACCTTCAAACTGATAGAAGATATCTAGATCGAACACTTACAAAAGCTATTTACATTTGATAAAATTTGAGTCCAAAATTTCATAATTTATGGTGTAACTTAAATGATGATTGGATTCACTTTAACTTTAACCAATTAGACTTTCGTGAGTAGATAGACTACACAGATCTGAGACCAACCCCTAAATTGCAACCCCTAAAATCGCAACCCCCGGTCGTAAGTTCCAAACGGCTTAACGTAGGATGACGTACGAGGGCTCGTTGGAAAGGGGATGAAAAATAGGGTTGAATGCAGTATGTGCCGTGCGCATCGGAGCATGCCAAAAGGTCATTATGGGGTATCTTCGTTTCTATTGGTCCGATCGTGACGTACGAGGGCTCGTTGGAACGGGGAGAAGGCAGGGAGACAAAAAACAAAGATGGCGGCGTTGCCAAATGGGCGTTAAAACGTATCTTCGTTGCTATTGGTCGGATTTTGACGTATGAGGTGTCAAAGCGTTGGATGTCACGTGACATTCAACGCAGGACGTGACATTCGACATTTTAAAAGACAAAGACACACTAACAGAGGACAGCAGAGGGTAACAGAGCGTCATAACAGTGACATTTATGTGACATTTGACATAGACCGTACAATGTCACGTGAATCGACGTGACATTTGACGCAGATCGTGAATTGACGTGAGATTTAACGCAGGACGTGACATTTATGTGACATTTGACGCAGAACGTGAAATGACGTGACATTCGACGCAGAACGTGAAAATGTTGCGTGAATAACGTGACATTCGACGTAGGACGTGACATGTATGTGACATTTGTCACAGAACGTGAAATGTCAAGTGACATTCGACGCAGGACGTGACATTCAACACAGAACGTAAAATGCCACGTGACATTCAACGCGGGACGTGACATTCGACACAGAACGTGAAATGTCGCGTGAAATGACGTGACATTCGACGCAGGACGAGACATTTGACGCAGGACGTGACATTTATGTGACATTTGACGCAGAACGTGAAATGACATGACATTCGACGCAGAACGTGAAAATGTTGCGTGAATAACGTGACATTCGACGCAGGACGTGACATATATGTGACATTTGACGCAGAACGTGAAATGTAGGAATTACGTGACGTGAGACGTTTTGACGTAACAGTTATGTGTCAGTCAAGACATCGCTTGACATAAAACGTGACATTCAACATAGGACATATTCAGTAGGAATGCGTAGGAGAAATAAACATATCTTTCATTAAAATATCTATTATTATTGAGTTAAATATAGATACAAGTTATATACAACACTGAAACTTGAATATTAAAAAAAGACATAGACATGTAGAAGTATTGTTTATTTACATTAGTTCCAAAAGCACTTCTTTATAATCTTCCTCCATCTTTAGTAAGCGATTAGGATATGCCAGCCAAAATCGTCCCTTTTTCACAAAACCTAGTAGTTCAAGTAGCGTTTTATTCAGGTAACCTCTATTCAAATATCGTATAAGGGTATTTCGTCGATCAGTAGTTTTAATTATGTGATGTAATTTAATTTGAACGTCGTCTGTTAATGCCTCTATTTGCGTTTTTATGTGTAAAAGTTGTTCTTCTCTAAGTATTCGTTCTGCTTCCAATCTCCTTTGATCTTCAATTCGCAGGTTTGTCAATTGTTCTGTACATGTTTCACATAATATGTACCTAGTCCTAGTATCATTCCAATCGTTCATTTCGAATAGTTCTATACAACCGCAAGGTTTTATAGTTTCACGTAATGTCTCATAAGGCATTGTGTCTGCTAACCAGAGGAATAAATGTAAGACACTTCTGAAGAGGTATCCCAAACGTTTAAGAAAAGAACTAGCATACGCCAGTGTGCTATTCTCTGCACTCACAGATACAGAGAGCAACAATAAGGCATGTAAACAGACCAGCACCTTGATTTATACTAATTTCCAAAAAATTGGTACTATAGTTATTTATACAAAATTCACAAAAACAGAATTATATACTGAAATATTAAGACAGAAATATTTTAAATAATAATATGTTAAAATAGTGCATTTGTTAGCAAACCGGATGAAGCCTCATGATAACAATACACCGCGTTGTTCAAAACACGTAAACAAGTGTGATAACAAATTTTATTTTAATCATTGGAAAAACAAGTACACCGGAAAGAAAACCGCAGTTGCTACATTTTGTAAAATGTATGAAGATATCAGCAACCACATCAACAAAATTCTAAATTGATAACAACGATTCTCTTACCGCAATATCTATTTATTATATTACCATAAATATTAGTTGAAGAAATAAAAATAAATATAAAAATATTAGCATTTCTAGAACTCAAGGTGTTGCTTATCTATGAAACGAATCAGTCGATGGTACCGTAGGCACATTAGGTTGACGCAACTCGGGCTCGGGTGGGGCGATATGCTGTTCTGTTCTTTAAAAGGCCGAGGAGCGCATACGTTGTCACAGTTCGCTTCGCAAACGTACTACAACAACAACAAGTTCGCAGTAGTCAATACGGTGTGCAGTGACTTACATATATCTGATAAAGGTAAGCGGTTGTTTCTTTTTATGTATTTATTATGTCCTTTTTATCATTGTATTTTATGAGAATTGTACATCTCTCTGTTCGTATTTCATGCAGTATTTTATGAAAAATGTATATTTCTATGTATTTATTATGTCCTTTTTATCATTGTATTTTATGAGAATTGTACATCTCTCTGTTCGTATTTCATGCAGTATTTTATGAAAAATGTATATTTCTATGTATTTATTGTGTCCTTTTTATCGATGTGGGTGTTGTAAAACATTCCACGTCTGCTATTTTTTATAAGAAGTATTCTCCGCTGTTCGTATTTCGATTTCTTGTAGTATATGGTTCTTCTCTATTGCCAAGTATGTAATGCATCTCTCCATTCACGTTAAGCGGAAAAACTATAGTTTTTTGTTATTATTGTAGATGGATCTATCAAAACTAAATAATGCATCCTTGGTTGCAGAACGTAAGCCAATAAAAAAACTTAAAGATCTACAAATTGGAAAAAAATTTACCATCCACAGTGCAAAGGTGGTAACAACACAATTTGGGGAGACAGTTCTGCTGGATTTGGGTGCTGAAGTTGTCTTCTTACCACAGCGGGTAACCAAAGCCTACCAAGCAGCAATAACGGACCTCAACAGCGGAAACTATTCGCTGATATACGAAGGGGAAGTTGATATTGGAAAAAGCAGACTCCTTGCATCCTTTAAGATAGTTGAATAAGGTAAGTGATTTTTTCTTATTGTTTGTTTGTGAGTAGCCATGCATATAAAACAAGTGATTAAACAGTCTGATGATTTGATGCACATTATTAAAAAGCTTAGTAAAATAATTTTCGATAAATTCACTGAAAGAGATCGTACAGTTTGGACAAGACGGTTAAATAGTCAAATTTTTAGATGTAGTAAAGTAATTAAAAACAATAAACTATCAGTAGGAACAGTTAGAAAAGTGCAAACTTACATAGGACATTTTAAACATTTTAGGCAAATTATTTTAAATTTCAATAATAAGTACGTTGGGTTGGGGCTTAATTCAAAATTACGCAATAGAGTTAAATGGGAAAATGTCATTTCGTGTTTTGCTAGTCGAATTAAAACTGGAGTTATAGTTAATTTATCGCATAAGGATGTAACACAGTTCCTAAATGATTGTTATATTATTTTTAGTAGAAAAATTAAAATTATTTTAAAAACAAATAGAATGCTTAAAGTCAATACTACATTTTGCGGCGAATTCATTAAAAAATCAAGTGATAGCGAAAGTTTAGATTTAAAATATTTTAACACTAAAAATGCTATTATAGACACATCGACCGATTTACATCTTTGGTTCAGCGAAAATGTTAAGGATAAAATTTTTACAAAGCTGTCTGAATTTGCAGAAAAAGATTCGGGTGCTGCTCTGTCTAAAGTAATTTCATTGGAGGTTAATATTAATAAAGTGGAAATAGGAAATGGTTCATCGTTCATTGACTTGCCAATTGAGATTCAGAAAAAACGAGCGTGCATTAATGTGCATAACTTCGATCAAGCTTGTTTTTATTGGTCAATAGTTAGCGCTCTGTATCCAGCAAAAGATCATCCACAACGAGTTTCAAAATATCCACATTATTCTACTGTTTTACAAACAGACAAATTAGAAAGCCCAATGCCAGTAAGCCAAATTTCCAAATTTGAAAAATTAAACGCCATATCAGTCAATGTTTTTGCATTAGAATTAAACGTAGTTAAGGACAAACAATTTTATGAAGTAGTACCAGCCAGACTGACACCGCAAAAGATGGAAAAGCATGTTAATTTGCTCCTTATACAAGATAAATATTTCCCAAAGTTAAACGATTACGATGCTCCTCCAGAAGATGATGATCAGACTGAAATACGCCTTCATTATTGTTGGATTAAAGATTTAGGAAAATTAGTACAAGCACAATTAAACAAAACAAAATGGAAAAAATATATTTGTGATCGTTGCTTAAACTATTTTAGCAGTGAAAGCAAACTAGCAGAGCACGAAGAAATGTGTTCAGATGTGAATAAATGTAAAATGACTGTTCCCAAATATGACCATGTGGCTTTTCGCAATTTTACATACAAACAAACA